AAAGATATGGCCCTTTAAAGTTTAAGTACAAATCTGGTTCACTTTCGGCACAAAATTATCTAAAAACTGTTACACTGAGAAAAAACTTTGTTTGTATTAAAGGAAAAGTATTAAAAGTATACAAATCAATATTTTTTACTACTATTAATAAATAATCATTTTAATAAAAATGTATGTTTCTTAATTATTATCAAACGCAAAAATACGCATTCATTACTATAAATAAAAAATATTTCAGTAATGCAAGTATTGCATGTTTAATAGTTATTTATTCTTTTATTTTTTTTTATAATAAATTTGTTATCGCTTATAATACAGTACATTAAATAGTTTTATTTAATATGACTCTATTGTAGAGCAATATAAATATAATTACTATTTACAACACACTGATTTCCAATCCTAAAACTACAAAAGAAGAAATCAGGGAAATGTTCTGAATGATAAAAGTTAGCAAAAATCCAACTTAAGATAGAATAAAGAGATGGTCTGACGATATTAAGTGTCCGCACCTTTGCATTACACTTTTACGTCATATGTCAAACTGACGCTGATGGAACTAGTCAATTTTGGCCCAGTATAAGTAATAATACAGAAGCAACAGTTCTATGTTTATGAGGGATCCATATTTTGCTGCGCATGTCCGTAAATAAGCGGCAAATACGTCAAACTGGCATATGTTGATTGTCAATGGATTAATGGTCGTTCATTGTTTTGATTATTTGATTGGTTGTAATTCACATTTTAATACAATGTTATTATATTTAGACTTAATTTTGTTCTTTCATTTATTGTGTGATATTTTATTCAAACGGACAAAGGGACAAGATATGTCAAAGTTACTTTTCTCAGTGTAGAAATAAGCGGCAAAAACGTCAACTGTCAATAATAATCTGACCACTCCGATATCAAAGGAGCCGACACAAGCTATCGCTACTGTATTATTACTTATACTAAGGTTTTGGTGAGAACATTCTCTGTTGAGTTCTAATTAACATTGCTATTCCTAAAACCAAAAGCCTTCCAGAATGTTCCAGACTCAGGAAAACACTAAAGAAAAATAAGCAAGGATGCATGGAATCTGAAAAATCAACAAGAAGAGTTCACACAGAGGAAGAGAATTTAGATCTATTACTAAAGTCACACTTTCCTGGAAAATGTTAGATTATCCTTGACCAAGAGAACAGGATTTTTGAGTTCCTAGGGCCTCAAAACAAACTGGTATCTTGCAAACAAAACAAAACTTAAATGTACAATAAATTACTTTCAACCATACAAGCCAGCAGGACCTGATGGTATCATCCTGACACTTCTACAAAAGGGCCAGGAAGTACTGGTAGGACCACTGTGTAAACTATTCAAAGCTAGCATAGTCCTCGGATATGTTTTACAAAGGAAGAGTTTTGCTAGAGTTATCTTCATTTCCAAACCTGGGAAAGCGTCTTACGCTGAAACCAAATCTTTTAGACCAATCAGCCTAACATCATTTCTCCCAAAAACATTAAAAAAATTGATCGATACATATATACGGGACAATGTTCTATGGGATAAACCGATACATCATACCAGTTTGCCTAGCAATCTGGAAGGTATTGCGATGCAGTCATACATAGGCTAGCTCAATAGGCTGAACAAGCATTGGAAAGCAAAGAAATAGCACTATGAGTTTTCCTAGATATAGAATGAGCCTTTGATTCGGCCTCATACAATACTGGGATTTATGCACAGGCGTGGCATAGCACACTGCAATACGAGTTCATGCTTAAGCATAAAACCAGAAACAGTAATCTCTTTAATACAATAAGAGAGGTTTCAGTTAGCAGGAAGGAGTTTTATCTTCACTATCTTCACCTTGGTGGTTGATGACCTTTTATGGATAAGGATAATGCAGCTGGCCCTAAATATCGTCGAGAGATAATGGACTAAAAGGGGGATTGTTCACAAACCCAACAAAAACCTCTGTTGTTGCATTCACAGGAAAAATAAATCTTGAAGGAATAAAGGCGCTTTATATGTAGGGACAACATCTAAAAATGACAAAGGAGGGAGGTTAAATATATTGGAATCACCCCTGATGACAAGCTTAATTTCTTCAGCCATATAGAAAAAACAACAGAAAATGCTATAAGAATACTATTGGCATGTAGACGGATGGTAGGGAACACATGTATGATGCATCGGCTTTATACTATGGTTGTAATGCCTGTTATACAGTTACTCATCAATCATATGGTGACACAAGACTAAAAGCATAACAGCTTTCAGAAAATTAGACAAGATACAAAGACTAACCTGTCTAATAAAAGCAGGGACATTTAGAACTACGCCTACTGCAGAAATGGAAAAACTGCTATGTCTTCCTATATTATACCTTGTGGTGAAGAAGGATTTGGATATGAACTTTCGAGAAAAAGATACTATATAATGATATAGAAATTAAAACAAAATCCGGTTTTAAGAATGCCATCGGATAGAACACTTTAGGAAACCTTCCGATATTGAAATACCAGAAATGGTCAAAAGCCCAGAAAAAACGAAAATACAAAACGAATCAATCTGGTATACAGACAGTTCGAAGATGAAAAACAAAGCTGGAGCTGGAATGTATTATGTGAACTCATGAGGACCATTAGTCTGAACCTGGGATGACTGGCAACGGTCTTCCTGGCTGAAATATTAGCATTAAATGCAGGCGCTAAAGTTAACGAAGTTAAGCTAAATGACTCTCTTAGAGATAAGAGACTTTTTATTATGATAGACAGGTAGCTCTTAAATCACTAAAAAGGGTAGAAATACAATCTAAATATTTGATTGCCAACGGTCCAATGTTAAATAAATATATGGAGAACAATATAGGCTCTGGTTGGAACTTTCTGGACTTATACAGTCCAAAATATTCATAGGAGGTCAATTTAAGAGCAGACAAAACAAAACATAACAAGGTCATTCTTGAATGGGTTCCGGGATACAAGGGAGTGTTTAAAAACGAAAAAACAGATCTAAATGAAAAAACTCTAAATGGACTAGAACCCAACATGTTAAATCGGTGCTAACGGAAGAGATAAATAGAGAACATTATAGGCTCTGGTTGCAACTTCCTGGACTAAGACCATGCAAAATATTCATAGGAGGTACAATTAAGAGCAGAAAAATCAACTGCTAAAGCGAAGCGAACTAAAGGCCTAAATAGGACTCTTTGCGGATCACTGCGACCTTAGAAGACACCTAAAACTCTTATGGCGGTTTTTCACTAAACGGACAAAACAAAAACAATACAGAAACTCGTGTCGAAAAAACAAAACTACAACTTTTCGCAAACTTTTTGAAGACTGGCGTGTTTTGGGACAGTTGGAGTTTTGTTTCTTGAGTCCCGCTCGGAAGCGGTAACATCAAAAGGTTTCGACGTGTTTTGAAACTCAAGTCTGTTTACTGGAAACGGTCGTGTTGTGTAGTCCTAATTTTAAACCAAATTGGTACCTAAATTGTTAAGTAATTTATTTTTAAATGCTGAATAAATTTATATAAGTATGTTTATTAGTAGAGTATATATCTGTATGTCAGAGCCAGATTAGGTTAAGTCCAAATATTGTAATTTTTAGATTTTTATGATGTCACATACATCTTTTAAACTACGTTTATATATATTTTAAAATTGGACCTATCTTAAAAAATAAATAGCTATTACAAATATAAATAAAATATTGAAAAAATGTGTTCTGACTTCCTCGCGACAACCAGTGAAAAAGGATCGAAAACAAAAACAAAACTGGAACAAAATGTCGTCCGCTTGATGGAGACAAGAGTTTTGGGTTTGTTTCAGTTTTGTTTTTGTTCTTCAAGTTCCAGAAAACACAAACAAAACATAAACTCAACTGTCCGTTTAGTGGAAAACCGTCTTTAGTTAATATCTGATGACTCCCTATGTAAAATATGTGAAGAGGAGGACAGAACTCCTATTCACATTATATGCCCCTGTCGGAACCTTAAATGGGAACGGGAATGACATTTCGGGGTACAATTGTCGGAACCTGCAGACATATTCTTGAATTTATCAAGAATATTAATGTGTGAGCGGTACAATAAGGCTAGGGCTTCAATACGAGCATTGTATTTAGATATCCTAGTGGATCAACCTTATGGACGTTTCATTGGAGGCAATTCTGTCGCGACATCTGTTAGAACTGTACAGAACTTCACCAAAATGGCTCATGTACTAGGCGCTCTCACGATCATCTAGTATAGAATTCTATTTACATAATGTTTTCTTAATTTCTAAATACATTCACTGCCAAATTTAAATAGTATTGTTTATATTCTCTAAAATGATGAAAATCGTAAATTAATGTTCGTCAAGCATAATTTAACTCGTATATCTCATTTTTAAAACAAATATTCTCAATCGATTATGTTCCATCTATTAGTAAATAGAGAAATTACGTTCGGTATTCAGTTTCGATAACCGTTAGATGGCTCGGTAGAAGACGACAAAATTATCAAAGACATGACTTGGATACCAAGGAGCTTGCTGCCGTTTATTGATACTGTCCATTGCCCTCCAAGATAATTTGCATTGGTTCTACTAGTTGATCTAAATACAATGGTACGAGTGGGCTTTGAACCACACCCTAATTCAGATACATAGACATCTTCGACCATTAATTGTTGGGTTCCAATTAACATTGCTGTTCCTAAAGTCATATAGCAATCCAGTACAGTACAACAAGATTGAGATGGTAAGTCAGAATTAGATGCGCACTGGCAAATTTTAAAATGGGAAAAGTTATCTCAGTTAACATAAGTGAACACCAATAGATCACTGAAACAATAGCATCGAAGTTTAACCAATAACTGGGACAACTCCTACCACTTTTATATTTGCTAGTGCGCATCCAATTTTGGCTTGCTATCTCAATCTTGTCGTAACACCGAGCAACCGAATAATAATCCAATTTTTTGTATATCCTTCCCGACTATGGTTTAGATGAACATTACAAACTAACCTTAAGACACCCACTGTTATACACCGCAGATTCCAGCGCTATCCTCGATATGAACACCCCGTCGTTCCTGTCAATTCCATTGCCTTCCCTGATGTACAGACCCAGAGTTTGGCCGGGTCTCTTCACGATTTCGACGAACTGCACCGTGTGCTTGGCATCCTGCATGGCCGTGAATCTCTTGACGGCGTCTCCGTTCGTTGTTCTGCCTAGTTGCCTAGCCTCCAGGATGCGTACTATCATCTCACCGCGTCTTTCCACGTGCTGAAACAGAATAAATACTTGTTTTTTTAATTTGTTTTCTAAATGTTTTCAATAATAATCATGCAGCTGATCCCTAAAATGCGATTATATCGTAAACCGTTAAGTTTTAAGGTAAATAACAAGTATACTTTTCTTCTGTTAAAATAACGTGGCTTTAATATTCTTTTACAAAAATGCCGCTAACTTAAACAGCAAAAAAAATTAGGGCACATTTATGCCACAAATGCAGTCTATGTAGCGCCCTCTACAAATTACATCGAATTAGGTACCAGATTATGATTATTCGTGCCCAAGAACCTCTATTTCCAAATTTTTATGTATACACATCCAAAAACGTAAGAGTTATTGCAAAAAAGAAATCTTAAAATTTAACCTTTAACACCCTGTATATTCCTTATTAGCAACATTTTATTAAAGCAATTTCTATGTACAATTACTTAAGGACCACCCTGTATATAGTATAACATTTTAATTTTCCATAGAATGGATTTATTTTGTAATTTCTATGAAAATAAACATTTTTTCAACGTATTGTACCACTATTTTTAATTTCAAAGATCGGAATCTTCTTCAAGTTCTATTCTGATTTTCTTTTAGTACAATTTAGAGTTCCGCAAGGTTATATTTTGGTACTCGCGCTTTTCATCTTGTACGTCAACCAAATTGACTTCATTATTATTGAAATATAAAATTTTCCATAATTTTCAATAGAGTTATAGTTCTTCAGTTGACATTAAGTAACTGAAACTTAATAGTTGATAAAAAAAATATATAATGTAGCTATATTTGAAGACTCTACAAGAGCCTTTAAAACCATTGACATTAATCTAAGAAGACTGCGAACTGCAATCTCTTTAAAAATGTCATGTTAACAATTCTTGTTAACATAAAATTTTTCTCTATTTCTACACGATAATTTTGTTATGTCTGTATTGAACGTCCAAGAGATAAAAATTAAAAATATAATATGTGCGCAAGAAAAGTAAATTAATGAAAATAGCCCATTGAGCATTTGTTCAAAAAAAAAAAGCAGCGGATAAAAATCTAATCGATATTTAGAACATTAAACGGTAAAGGACCTCGACACGGAAAAATAAAATGTCAATATAAGTGGTTAGTTATTTGCGTAAATATAATAATATTACAAAATGGTTATTTTTCTTTCTAATAGCTTTGTTACTTATGACAAGAAATTACTTTTCACGAAAATGAATATTTGATCTGTTTTTTATGGCCTTTTTAATTTGAATACAGAAATTTATCCACGATATCGTTGATATAATATAAATGGGTGCCGTATTATGTCGACGTTTTTGTGAATTATAACCATATTCATAAAATATTACTAAATAACAGAGAAAAAGAAAAATAATAGTTATGTAATAGGTTCAAGATATCGATATAATATTGTGAGCTTTAATGTAATATATACAGGATATCCCATTAGTTCATAATTACTCGATATTTGTGTCAAATAAAAGTTATGGATTTATAAAAAGCATATTATAAAAATATGTTTTTATATACAGAATATTGCTTGTTTGCTTGGCAAATAAAAAAATATATTTTTTAAATATTTTATTTCAGTTTCATAGTATCAAATTGTTAATTTTTATTTTTAAAATTTCACTTTCTACTGAAACTTCCAGATATAAATACTCTTCGTGTTTTCCTATAACTATGAAAATATTATCATTTTATTGTTAACGAAACAAATACAAACAAATAATGACAAGCGACCACGAAACAATATCAACTAACACACATAATTATGCACGGAAATAAATTATAACTGGACTCATTGTAGTTATGATTAATTAACCCATACATTACATTACTAATTGGTAATTAGTAGATAACGTAGACACCTATGTGGATGTTTTACTGGATCGAAATTGTTGTGGCACGTGCAGGGCCTTCGCGTGGGTTATTGTAGCCCGTAAGCTGAAAATATTTTTGGCACTCTTTGAATATATGTAGTACTTATATAAATAATATTTTGAAGAATAAATTGTTACATATCGATGGTCTAATTCTAATATTTCCTAACTGCATAGGTTGGTATTTTACAGAAGTAGCTTGTTTTAATTTAATATGATTGCAATACGGGTTATCAGAGTTGCCAAATTTCTCATGTTAATATTGTCCGAAGCCAATACGGTAAATGTCAACTAATGACAGAGTAAATGTACAATCGAATGGCGCGAAAAAGTGAAATTTGAATTTTTTGCAAATACCGGGTATAAGAATTAGATCATCGATGTGTTTTTTGAATTTCCTGGTTTGCTGTAATATCCACTATTTTATATTAGATTTTAATTTTGTTCTGAAACAAAAGAAAAACTTAAATTTTATTCTTTTTTAAAATTCGTTACCAAGGAAAAACAAACCAAACAATAAGCTAAAAAACATTCAATCATCCAAAAAGTAAATAGGTTTTTTTTCTGGATTTGGCTGCTACAAAATCTTTTATATTATTGTCCAAATCAATGTTATCGAGGATCTCTTGCTCTATAGCTGTAAGATTACCAAACCAGATAATCTTCTTTATAACATGGTAGACCTTTAATTTTGAAAAGGATCTCTCACCAGACGCATGATTCTTAATGAATTGGTAATAGAGATGAAATTAGATTTTTCTTTAAATATCTATTATAGAATGTCAAGGGGATTTGACGCTTTAGGTAATAATAACATTTTTAGGGTTTTATCCTTCTTTTCCTGATCAGTTACCTTTTGTTATACATGGCAGCTTTTTAAAAGATCCTTGTCACTTAATTTAAAAATATCACTAAACAAAAATGTTGTCGTAATCAGATATCAGATATCAGGTATTATTATTTAAAGAACATAGATCATTTATTTTTAACGCGGTTTTGGGATCTTAAGGTGCCTCATCCCTCTGTTCATAATCGAACAATTTTGATTTATAATTTCTTTGTAAAAAACAAAACCTAAATATTTCAAAAACCATATTTTTAGTTTTTTTCTACTCCATCTAATCAATAAATAATAGTAAAATTAATTATAATTCGAAAATTGTTGTTGAAGTCTTATTTTCTCATAAGACACTGTACAAACACACACATTTTTAAAAAAAAAATCTCAAAAATTTGCACGGTAAGGTATAGTTAAAAGTTCACTATTAGATAAATAAGGACATCTACTATTAGAAAAAAATAAATTTTAGTCATAATCTAATATTTTTTATTTAACATTGGTGGCGAAAGGACCTCCTTAAATCCTCTTTAAAACATAAATAGTATCGACACACTTCGATGTAAAATTCCATCGTGTAGGAGCATTTTAAAGCATACGACTCTGAAGAAAAGGTGTTTGGCAATTTAAAATCTCCCAGCGAAAAATTTCTCTTTTATATTTCCAAATTAGAAAAAATAGTTATATCTCTATTTGATAGTTTGTCAACTAAGCCTGTTATTTCCAACGCATACCTTTTTGAGATGAGCAAAATAGAATTTGGTCATCCTTGCCAACAATTTGCGAAAATGTACACCATTAAATTATTTATAACACTCAGAATTTTTTATACTCCTAAATATGTAAACAGAGATTTGAAATCCTCGAAAAAGTCAGACAAAACCAAAAGAAAAATTAAAATTTTGTTCCATTTATAAATATTATTGTTTTTTTTCATCATATTTTTGACTGCTTTATAAAAAAAAAGTTATTTTTCTTTGTAGTTTTATTTCTTAACTATTCCAATGGTCCAACTAACGTTTTTTCGTAATTACAATAAATAAATTATTATCATGGTCCAACAAACGCGCACCTTAAGCCGAAACCGGCATCGCCTTTGTGAGGGGTAACGATGCCGCTGCGTACATTCGTATCTGGTCTAGGTAATCTGTGGCATGGGTACAGCACGTCACGATAAGGACAGCGCCCCGCTTGTGACGTATAATCCATCGCATGTGTTCATCTCTTGCTAAGCGATATTGTCGTTGTCCTTGTTTTTCGTATCATAATGAGAGAGAAAACAACAGAGGCACACATTTACTGTGCCCATCTTCCACTTAATTTAGGAATTCTCGGAACGTCCCTCAACGCCCGGTCGTCCAGTGTCGTGCCAACGCGGTTTGCGCTGAATATTAGATAAAATAATAATAGGCATTGAAGAACATATAAAATATAGAAGTTATTTTTTTTTTGTTTATTATACTAGGGCACATGCCCAAGTGCCCTTACGGGCAAACCGCCACTGGTAAAATATTTCTTCTTTTAGTATGGATTCAAATAGTTTTGGAATAATCAATATAATGGAAATACCTCTATAATTCTTTATATCGATTTTATCACCTTTCTTGTAAACTGACATAAGGTGGAAACACTTACAAGCAGGTGGAAATATTCCACTATCAAATGATTTTTGTCAAACTTGAGATAGGCTAGTCGGTTTTGGTGAGAATAAATAACATTTGTTTAAATAGCTTAATTTAAATGATATAAAATCAATTTTATTCCGTCAGTCTTGAAATATAAAATTAATGACTTAAAAGAAATCACAGTATCAGTAAAGTCCTTCTTCTGTCATATCGTAAAATAGTATTTATGTCGTCTCTACTTTATTCTATCTTGATGTCTGATTTGGATATAAATGAACAATCTATATCACTATATATAATTGGTCATTGGTCATAAGTTAACCTCCAAATTTGATGTGTTTACGGTAGAGTGGATTTAGATTATTATTTGGAATATTATTCTGACCATGGTAGATTGTAGACTTTAAGAATATTTATTAAATTGTTTGTTAAAATAACTCAGTTGCAAAAAACATAAGGCTAACAATAATTTGGTTTATGTAATCAATGGTTTTAAATTTCAAAATAAGGATACCTACATATATTTTTGTAATCTACTTTAGTTATTTAAAATATTGCTTAAAAATGAATATATTATATTTATTTATTAATGTATTATTTAAGACAAAGTTTGTTTGATTTTATTTTTTTATTTCCATGCGTAAAAGTTAAGTGACAAAATACGTATACAGTGTGTGGCAGAATGAACTAAATAGTAAATCATTTTTTTACTTACATCCAAGGCGGCCGCTGTCGACGCATCGTGATCGTTTTCTACTGTTTCTATCTGCTTGAAAATCTCACTGCTGATTCCTGACACCTGCAAATAAAATCAATTATAGTAGCTGCTCCGTCTTATACCTACAATACCCAATAGGGACTTAGAACTCAGAATTAAACAAATTAAATTAATTTCCTCCGACTTAGAACGCAGAACATCCATTATTTCAAACCTAGAGCTCGGAAAAAACGATATATTTGATTTTAAACTCAGAAAAATCCAGTATTTCAACTTATAACTCATAAAATTCGTTTTTCTCCCAATTATAAATCAGAACACTATACTTTTCCTAATTTTTTTTTCTCAGATATTAGGAACATTAATTTTTCTGTCCTAATAGTTAAAAAAATTAGTATTTGTCTGAGTTACAAGCCATTTTACGTTTTAGTAATCTTTTTTATCATTCTTTGTTTTTATTTTCATTCCTTATTCGATCCAATTATATTTTCCTGTTAATTTCCCCAGTAAGTTTTCCATTTTTACTTAATTTTTTATCAAATTATACAAATCTGACTCCAAATTTTTCTGATGTTTTGGCGACAATCGGTAAGAATGTAAAACATTTTGACTCGCTTGCTGAAAAATTGACATTTTCCCTAAATTCCTTCAATTACAGTACCTCACAGTAACAGTAATTGCAGTGCCAAAAGTAAAAGGAAATTGTTCAGAAAACATTCGAAAACTGCTAAAACTCCGGTGTAAATCCTTTAACGACCCCTCCGGCAGGATCTCGAAGTTTCACCATTAGCGTTCAACATTTGACACTAGAATTCTAAACTCGAATATTCGCGCGATTTACATCGAGAAAATGCTATGTTGGCTGCAAGTTTTTCTAATTAATTTCGCCGTTACGTGAACATTTCAGTGGAGCGCTATATTATTTTTATCTGTTTGGAAGGCAAACCATATATTACAAATAACTAAATGTTAGCTGTTAACTCTCTACTGCAACTCCATTCTACGTAAAGTTTTGTGGCAATTTAACATTTTCACAATTAATTTTCTCAGTTATGATTGCTCAAAATTTAAAATACCTTTAATTGCCGAAGAGAGAATTAAAATCTCCTTCAAACAAGGTGCCACACGATCCTCTTTCGGGCATATGTTCAGAGCAACTTTTTTTCATAAAACGTCCCAAGAAATCACCCTCTGAAGCTTCGTATCGTAGTTAGAAACTTTTTTTTATAAAATTATCTGCGGTATCAAACCGTGAAATATTAGAAAGTAATTGAGTAATCTAAACTTTTTGTATTTTAAAGCGAAAAAATAGTTACCTTTCTGAAATCTCCCTGTATGACCATTGGCGGAGGGTGAGGGGTCCTCGAATTTGGTGCAGCCGCCGGTGCCCGCAATGGGGACGCTGTGAGATCAAGAGCCTCGCGTCCATTATCCTGAAACAAAAAACAATCTCTGTGTAACCAAAATAATTTTATTTATGTAATTACTTGTAAAAACCCTTGCTGACCAGAGAACACAAAGTTCAGAGATTAAATTTTGCAAGACTAGATCAGAATTGGACTATCAATGATTGGAAACGGGTTCTGTTCTCCGATGAAACTAGAGTTAGCCTTAAAGCTCCAGATGGACGTGAGCGTGTCTGGCGAAGACAAGGAGAAAGGTTTGCCAGCTGTAATATCTCTCCTAAAGTGCTTTTTGGTGGTGGCTCTAAAATGTTTTGGGGAAGAATTTGCTTCGATGCTCATACGTAGTTGGTCCATATACGTACGAGGTCTATGAATGCCTAATATTACTTAGACAACATTATTGTTGAACATGTAATGCCTTTTGCTCCGTTTGTTGGGCCCAATTTTTTATTCATGCAGGACAACGCTCGTCCCCACATGGCTAGACAGGTTATTGGTTACTTACATGATGTTAATATTCCTTTATTAGAGTGGCTACCTAACAGTCCGGATATGAATCCTATAGAACATCTATAGAGGATTCGAAGTCACAACCAACTCATAGAGGTCGCTATTGAATAATGGGAGAATATACCGTAAGCTTTTGTTGAACATATGATATCAAGCATGCCGCGACACATGAATGCAGTGATAAGAAGTAGAGGAGGGCCTACGCGGTATTACGGTTGACCCAGATGCATTTATTCTCTTTTACTGATTTTTTTTTTCTTTTTTCAATTTGGAGTTATGCTAGCTTATTTATGCATTTCCAGCAAAAACAAATTTTTTTGGAAAAAATAAGGCAAATTAAGGTCATGTAAAGGTTATATTCGACTAATTTTTAGGTGTTCATCATTCATCATCATTTCAATGTAACTTAGTTTTATGTTGTGTTTATATTGTAAATATTTAGATTAATTAAAATGGTGCGTTAATTTTATCCAGGAGTTTCGAAATAATGGACTGCAAAAAAGCTGGTAGATTGTTTTCGTGCATATCACAGATAACTTCATCAATAAACCCTAGGAGAAGCAATAAATTCGTTCATTTCCACGCCACCTAACTTGAGGCAGCCATGCCGTGCTACCTACTATTTCGTTATTTTAAACCAAGTAATTAATTTTCCTTATGATATTCATTGTTACATATTTGTGATGTTTATTAAATCCTGTTAAAGTATTATGTGAACTTTAAATTGAAGCATCAAATCTCAAGTTATGCTATCAGTGATACAAGAAATATAGAAAAAGTGATTATTGAAATTATACTAAAACAAGTAATTTTAATCCACCAGTTGGCCATCAGGGCTGTATTTAAGTGTAAGTAGATAATCGGTTTTAAAACTCTAAAGCCCTTTATACTACAAATTGTATTTCGAGTTCATAAATAACAAAAGAATATATATTTTTTCATGTTTACGAATTTAAAAGTGTATTATTCCTAATATAACGTATCATTGGCACAGAAAAACCTATGTCACTTCAAAAGATTCCTTATGTTCTTTATACTTCTCTCTACACGTATTCGGTATTAATCCTTCTTGACAGGAACGAGAAGAGGCAATAATCGAAATAGCATATTACAAATGGGCTTTTACTCGACTCGACGAAAAGAAATGCGTTATATCTTCTCTTCGAAAATAGGGAGAAACATTATTGTGTTTCTATAAGCTGCACCATTTGTTTGTTTAACAAAGCGTGAAGTTGAAGCAAGAAAAAACTGTGTTAAACCTATAATTGGTGGTTTTGCGATGGTTAATACGGAAAAATTGGCGCAGTTAGTAGGATTTTGATTTTCTTATCATGTAATTTATTTATAATCTTTGTCAAACTGGTTAATGATTATTTAAAGAAAGTAAAAATTATTAAAACCTTAAATATGTTCCAGGTATTTCCCAGTATGGAAAACTCACGAACATTATAAAAGATTAACTCGCTAAAATCAATTTTCCAAGAAAAACTTGTCATGTCGATGTTGTTCAGTTATTTATTTGTGTTTCGCGAGAAATGCATGCACCAGGCTCGTTAAATTAAGTGGCTCTATTTTCAAGGATATTCAAAATAGAACGAATTTATGTATATTTGAGATGTATGCAATATGGTGCAAAATTATTATTTCGTATGTCATTTTTGTGTTAATTAGGTATTTTTAAAATAGATATTTCATCTTGATAACTTCTAATTTAGTTTTTTAATTTTGTAGTTGCTAATTGACGTTTTCATATAACAAAGTCTATTAAGGCGGGTGCAGATCTGAGCACGTACGCGTATGAGGCAAGTCGAGGACGCATGAGCATGCAGATGTGGACGGGCTTCCGAGGCGCGGCAAATTGCCTCGTTGTGTGCACCGTACGACCTCGCCCCGATCCGTCTGTTGGCGGTACGTCAAAGGGAGGCAATATGCAGTACGTGCTCAGCCTGGACTAGGAATTTGTATCATATAACACCGTACAGATTATAGCGAGTTTTTAGGATTTATTTTGCAGGGAGTGGAACCAGGAAAACGTTTTGCTTCTGGATTTAAATAATCAGCGTTATATCTTAAAAGAGCAAAACGCCAGTTCTATTACAACACCATAAAAAAAAGAATATCATTGGCAGGAAATCGGCCATCGATTCCTTTCTCTCCTTTTTTCTTTAATATGTCGGATGAAATAATAAAACATGCACTCAACTCCGCTACGTCATCCTCATCCTTCATTTTTGTTTTAATTTTAAGAATAATCTGGGTATACGGTTGCGTGCTCGCGAATTTACTGGATCAGTGGCGATCAACGTCTCGTGCGTCCACCATTCGTGTATACAAAAAGCGTCGCACGAGGCATTCGGTTCGGCCTCGGCTTGCCTCATACGCGTACGTGCTCAGATCTGTACCCGCCTTTAGGATGTTTTAATTTTTTCTATAAGAACAGTGTTATAATGTGAGTTTTTATTAGAATGCTCCAATGAAGTTTCTTTATATGAAAGATCCTATCTTTTTTTCGATGAGGAATCACCCCCTTAAATGTTTTACACTTATTTAGTTACACCCTGTATACTGTATAACTCGGAAGGGACAGACAATTGAGAGAAGTCATAATATAAACAGATGTTTTTCTTACCCATATTTTTCATTTGGCATATATCTTACTCATATTGGGAGGTGGGGCAAATTTGCCCATTCTCCTTTATGAAAAGACTTTTTAAAATTATTTTTCAATACCTCTAACTTAATCTGTATCTCTACTCATATATGAACGTAATACAAATTAGGGGCGTTATTTTAAATTTGTACAAGGGCGCCAAAAGTGCTAAGCACGGGACTGTTGTTCGTATCACACTCGAACTTTGTCTTCATGGTCATCACATCCACTCTTGTTGTACAAAGTATTATATATCATCATAATCTGTTATCGTCCACTGTATAGAAAAGCAACAGAATGTCTCTAAATGTTTATAGTTCTTTTATTCGCGGTCGATATTAACGTCCGGAATCCAAACTGACTGACTCGAGACTTATAAATGCAGTCCCCGAAGACCAAGAACGAAAATTTATTGTGCTTGTGTAGTTTCGCTCCGAATTCATTGCAGTTTTAAAATTTTATTGGACACCGGATGGATAGTTATTGCAACTCTAGGGCACTGCTATCGATTTACTTTAAATAACTAGCAAAGAGCTTAATTGAATCTCACTGTTCATTTCTTACGAACTAGGTGTTTATAATATAAGAACGAAAAATACTTTTTTTGTTCATGTGCGCAATTTTGTGGTCGATGTTTTTCATTTCAATGCGAAATCCATCATCAAAATTCATCCGTATATCCATCTGGAACGGCATTGTTCGGAGCACACGATATCTGTCATCAAATCAAATTCGGAGCATAATTAGAAGCATTGTGGAGGTTTTGGTGTTATACGCGGTTTCGACGTGACTAATATACGGATTTAGGGTTCGACCGGGAAGGAATGTTTCACCTATTGCCACGAATTTCGTGTATTCAGCCATTCTGCGGTTGAAAATGTTGAAATATTGATCGGATCTTAAATAATTTTATTTGTTTTCGAAATGTCGGGTAACAATAATACCAAGACTGTGGAATCGCGAGAAATTGACTATAAATGTCGTTCCTGTCAAGATGAAGGTTGACAATCAACCTTGTCAAAGTCAGGCAGAGTAGTTTTAGGGTATGGTCCAAAATTAACCAAGATTTGACAGCGGATTCTGAAAAAACTAATTTCTTGATTACATTTGGGCCACGGCCGAGATTTACGTCAGTTTTGTGACAAATTACTTAATAGTAACCGTGAAAATATAGCGGTTACTAAATTGAAATTTGAGTCACCATTTACAGGTAACCGCGTCCCTAATTTAACCGATTTTTCAGGAATGTCAAGCAGAGCGGTTAGTTTTGGAACGAATAACGGATATTTCGGTTAATAACGAACCATACCCTAAGTTCTATGACTTAGGATCGATTCCACCGTTGTGTTAAATGAAGTTTAAAATGACATTTTTACATTAACAATGTCATTTTAATCTCCGTTTAACACAACGGTGAAATCGACCCTTAGATAAACAAATGAAATATAGATTAGCACGCTTTTTAGCATAGGTTTTGTTTGAAGCTTGGACAAGGAAAAAAATAGCACTAGGAGTATTATGTGCCGATAATCTATTGGCCGCCATTGTTTTGGTGCTAAGGCCACTTCTTATAAAGTGTAGCGACGCGACAGAGAATCAACTTCCTTTACTAAGCTTACGGGGGAAGGTGTTCTCATCGCTGCGTCTAAAAATATCATTAGTTATTCAGAAGATTCTTGTATGTCCGAAGCTGAGGATATTTGGGTCACAATTGTTTCTAATCAAGGACAAAAATTACATATCGGTTGTGTTCACATACCTTTTAGAGATATGGTTGCACTAAGCTTTTTTTGTTCTAAATTAGCTGATATCGTTCTAGATAATACACTCAAATGCGGAGGCTGATTTATTTGAATTTTTTAGCAAC